CCTCCTTGTCTCCCTCCCTTCCCTTTTCTTCCTCTCTCCCTCCCTATGCAGAACTGTGACAGGAAAACAAACTGCACCTCTGTACAGTTGCAAGCAGCTCTCCTGAGCCTATCACGCAACCATAACTTCCCCGATTACTTGTAACAGATATCCTTATCTACACTTCCCTCCGCCCTCCCCTCTCTCTCTCTCTCTCTCTCTCTCTCTCTCTCTCTCTCTCTCTCTCTCTCTCTCTCTCTCTCTCTCTCTCTCTCTCTCGTCTCCTCACCCCTCTCCCCTCCATCTTCCATCTCCTTCATTTTCCCTTCCTCCTCATCCCCAGCAACTTCCTGCCCTCAGGCCACTCTTCCATCTCTATTGGTCTGTCGCACGGCATGCTCAAACAGACAAGGAAACAAATGTCTATACTGACTTATGGCAAATAAGATTTTCGATGCGTACCTCCTCAACGCGCAGCCGCACATTTGTCTCTGATTTCTGCACATACCCAGTCAACAAACAGGGCAAAGATCAGAACACGAGCGTGCCAATCCATACAAAGGACGTTTCTGAGATTGAGCACCCATACAACCTTTACAAAGTCATTTATAGGTAAGCAGTTATGGGATAACTGGGTTCTGTGATGGCGCAGAGCTAGCACAAGTATTACCTGGATTTGGCCCAGTTTTCGGACTCGGCACATCTAGACCATGCGTATGCAAGCTTGGCACATTCAGACCAGGTTTATGCGCGCCTAGAACAGGTAGACCAGGTTCATTCAAGCCTTGCACAGTTAGATGAAGTTCATCCAAGATGATGGCACACCCACGCTCTGGTGGCACGTATTTGGGGCCTGCCACACTGAGCCTAGGGTCCCGGACTTCTTCTGAGGTGGCTCTATGACTACCTGATTCAGCTCTATCCCCCGCAACCTTTGGGAGTGCCTGCTTGCCTTGTTTAAACCACCAGTACATCCAGCTATCGGCCGCCGGCCCTTTTTGGAGGCCGCCCACCGCCGATTGGATTTATCTCCGGCTCTGGGCCTCCAAAAATTTCGTAGGCGACGAGTTCTGTTCTAAGCAAGGCTGGGGCCGTGTACTGGCGGCTCAAGGCCTGCCGGCACTATTTGTCCTTATCTGCAGTTTATGACTGGAAAATTTTATGTTATGCCCCTGAACGTTGGTAAAATTTGTGTGGTACCCCTCAAAGTTAGGAATTCATCCCACGCCCTGCTGCCGGTACCCCCTCAAAGTTAGGAATTCATCTCATGCCCTGCTGCTGGTACCCCTCAGAGTTAGGAATTGGTAGCCTTCTCGCCTTGTTTAAGGCCTGTCGACACTATTTGTCCGTATCTGCAGTTTATGACTAGAAACTTTTCTGTCTTGCCCCTGAACGTTGGTGAAATTTGTGCCGTGTCCCTCCTAGTTAAGAATTTGCTCCATGCCCTGCTTGCCCCGGTTGCCAGTAGGTGCCGACCCCCCGTAATCAGACTGGCATATCCGTTCCAGACAGTCTAAAAAAGTCTTCTCTAGCACATTGGTACAGCCTTAGGCGCGTCATCGACTGGCATATCTGTTCCAATCTATTCCTGGTCCCAAAGACTGCATCCACCAGAAACGGGGGTAGCACGCATCTCATCGTCCTAAGAGGGCGTCTCATATTTTTCCGATCTCCAAGTTCCACTCGCACCTCCATCTTTTCCATCTCCATTTCCGCCCGCTGACATGCCGCCCATACCACCTCCCGTTCCGCTTGCCTAAACAACTGATTTGGTGCCGTGCCCAATACTAATCCCACTACCATTGCATTTTCCATTTCCTGAGATAGGTAGACCCATCCTCGAGCTTCCACTGTTCCCCGAAATTCTAAGTCCATCAGACTTGGTGAGAGTCTCGTCAGGCTGACCTTGGTCCAGACCGTCTCTATCCAGAGGAACGCGTCCTTCTCATCCATCATCACGGTTTCATATGCTGGCTCTAGGTCCGTCCACGTTCCTTCTTCCGGGAGGACGACAGATACCCCTTCCTTTACATCTATAGGCATTTCCAGACCCCTTCCTTTACCTCCATAACAAGAAGATCAGAGCATACTCACACTAGGACTTTCCTGGATGTATCTGGTTGCAAGTACAGCCTGTCTTCGATGTATCTCACCGCAATTACATCCAGAGATCAGCCCGAAAAGTACTCGTGTGAGTACACTGTCACAGCTGCAGACATAGGGTGTCTGTACTGCTGCAGCCTGATCCCATAATGATTGTTCCTCAAAGAATTTGAAAAAGAAAAGCGAAAAAAAAAAACAAGAAAATTTAGAAAAACAAGAAAAGTTCATGCACTTCAAATTTATTGAACCTTACATGTGTGTACCATGAGTCCATCAGGTAATCACCAGTTGGACACACAACTACGTTCTTTCGTTTTTTTTTTATAATTATAAAATTATTATTATTTGGACCATTTCTTGATTTACGTGTGTCATCCTTGCACACTGGCCATGTTAATCTTCTCCGTCGAGGGATTCTGATCAGCAGTTTCTTCTTATGAACCTGCACTGTTTTGAAGAAAGCAAAACGGCAAGAAGCAAAAAAAAAAAAAAAAAAAAAAAAAGGTGAAGCGTCGGGTGAGTGAATCATATATCCATCTGACTTGCCGGTGGAATAGGAACCGGACTGATGCTCCCCAGATTCCCAGAATGGATATTATGGAGCCGGGGCTGCAAGGCTCTGTTTTCTGTAGCGAAAAAAGAAAAAGAAAAAAAGAAGAAGAAAAAAAAGCAAGAAGCGAAAGGTGATGGTGAGTGCATGCCACAGCAGTCCTTACCTTCTCCACTTCCTCGCACGTCAGGGGCACATGGCTTGGCTCCTTACAAAGTCTACAGGAGGACTGCAAAAGAAGCATGCATACACACGAGAAGTCAAAAATGTATCAGCAATAGAGATCTCGCTCTTTGCTTCTTTGTTCAAAAAGCAAAATGAGAGTGTTTGGAACTTTGGATTCAATAGGCTTTTATAAGTTTTAGTCTCAACTTATATTTGATGAACAACCAAAGAGACATGAACCACTGGGTAAGAGTAGTGTACGATATACTACTATACAGTCTATAGAGTCAGTATAGACTCTATAGAGTCTATAGGACTATACTACTATACAGTCTCATTGCTTTTCTGGAGAAACAAAAAAAGACACGAGAGGTACTTCAAGGAAAAAAGGAAAATAGATCAATAGGATCCTTTCGGAAACCTACCCCATCTCCAGATCCGTACGACAAGGTGACCCCCTAGCTCCACCCATCTTTCTCTTCATTATGGAAGCGATAGCTTCCTTCCTCCGCAAAGATCCGTCCATAGATCGACTCACCGAATGGAACTTTAACCCACTGCACGACTTCGCCCTACCCACCGCTCTGATGTTCGCAGACGATCACACAGTCCTTATCCGTGCCAACAACAGTTCCTTCCAGGCCCTCGTGAGGGCTATGGAGGCCTTTTGTCTTGCATCCGAAATGAAGGTCAATTGGCGCAAGACCGAAGGTTGGTGGTTAACGAACGAGACGCCCCCCCAACCTGAGGGCACAGCCACACCCATGTCATGGTCCACAGGCGAACAGGCACTCAGATACCTAGGGATCATGGTCAACAAGGACGGGGTATGGCCAGGAATGGGCCACGGCCTAATTGCCAAAGCTATAACCCGCCTGGCCCCTTGCAACAAGCATCACTGATCGGAAGGGCTTTAATTATAAACACAGCCATCTTCTCCACACTATGGTATATCGCGTCCATCTGGTCTCCACCAGACGCCGACTTCCAAACCATAAAGGCCAAAGCAAGATGTTATTTGTGGACAGGGGATCCCAACCGGACCTCATGCATCAACAGGGTAGCATGGAGCCACATCATCAGGAAACCGCAGGAGGGAGGCTTAGGCCTAATTGACCCCAAGCAGGAGTCAACAGCACTACAGATGAAATGGATCATTAAGATCCTGACCAGACAATACCTACCGTGGACCAAGATGGCTCTAGACAGCATAAGAAACCTAGCACCGATACGCTCCCCACCAAACATGTGCGGCTACTTCTGGATTATGGCGAAGGAGTGGACAATAAGATCAGGCAGATCCCGCAGAAACACCACACAAAACTCAGACAACCAGGCAGCCCCAACACCCAACCCGTACTGGACCCCGACTCTGAAAGCCTGGAGACGTATGATGCCAAGCAAACATGGCACAGTGGAAATTAAAGAGGAGGCCCTGAGACAACCGCTGTTCTGCAACGATTGGAACAAGGACCCTGAGGGCAACCCCTGGCAACTAAGAAATAGGGACCGGAGATGGTTTTCATGGGTTGAAAAAGGGGTGTGGCAGGTTAAGCACTTGTGGGCAGAAGAACAGGGAGAATGGCGAACGGAACATGAACTCCGTTACACTCTAAGAGGCTTCCACGCTCTCGCAGATAACCTACGCACAATCCAGAAGAGCATCCCACCCCACTGGATTCGTCTCTTGAAAGAAGACTTCTCCTGGAAACCAGGGGACTGGGGTATACTGGTATCCCAAACCCCACCGAACAGAGCATACCGGTTCGTATCCCGCACCTCAACTACCGGCTACCGTTCCAAATGCTACTCCTATCCCATCGCCAACCATAACCTCCAGGAACTAACCATCTTGAACAGAGAACCGCAACTAGAGACGATAGAGTCCTTTCTGCTGAGAAAAGTGAGGGTGTCGAAGACCAAACCATGGATAATCTTCCAGCCCGACCTCAGCATCGCGGAACTCGAATTCGACCCCAAGGAATGGGTATGGAAACAAGGCGMATCYRGAAAAACCAGAACGATACTGGAATACGATGTGAAATTCGGGTACAATCTAGGTCTACGGACCACGGACCCCAACCCCAAACTTGAAGACAGATGGAGAGAGACACTRAACCTAGAGCCAACAGCCTCAATGACCATCCCCTGGACAAAATACCTCCCCATAAAACCAGTTAGAATCCGAAGCCTACAATGGCTCCTAGCCCACGCAGCACTCCCTGTCAATCAGTGGCTCCACAAAAGAAGAAAACACTCAGACCCCAACAGCTCGGAACGATGCGCAATGTGCGATGACAGTGTCCCTGAAGACATCCCCCACTGCCTCCTATACTGCAGCCAGGCAGCCTGGATATGGAACAAAGTCCAAAACCTATGGCACCATCTCTTCTCAGCCCCCCACCCCAACCTCACCCCCCAGAACATCCTACTTCTATCTAACATCCACGAGAAAAGGTTAACCGACCCCCCATTTTTCACCTCAATTTATAAGAAAACCATAAGGCCATCCCAAGCAAACTTCACACCAATCTATAGAGTGCACTTCTTACTAACATATTATAAAAAAAAAAACAAAACCAAAAAAAAAAAAACACATAAAACAGCAACTCAAAAGTGCATTTTCAGGCAATTTTGCCTAAAAACAACTGCATCAAAATTTCAGGATTTTCAGGATGATTAACAGCACAAATTCTAATAACCCAAATGACACCAAATTTGACACACAGCAAGCTTGTCCTAAAACAAAAACAGGCAAAAAACAAAATTCCAAAAAAACACAAAATTTGACCCCGAAACCCTAATTTCAGGATCATTCATCGTTACCCAGGGCCGAAAAGTGGGGGTCCCCGTTAACCACTTGTGTGACAGTCTCAGAGGCGGAAAAGCAATCTGGTTCCACATGCTCAGGAAGCTAGCTCTGTGGGTAATCTGGAAAAGGAGATGCACCAAGACTATCGAGGGCACAGAGGTGGCAAGGGAAGAAATGTGCGCTCTACTGCTGGGAATGGCTGAAACTGAGATTCGATCCAGATGGAGGGAGGTGACATCAACAACGAAAGGCAGACCAGAAAGGACAGCCATCAAGAGACAGGTTTTCATGAGAAACTGGCTTTTACAGGGAAGGATTGCAACTGTGACAGATAACAGATTGATTTGGAAGAAATGGCACAGCACAACTCGAACAAGGACGGTGACCCAGGGAGGGGCAAACTGAGATTTTAATCTCAGTAGTATAGACAACTCTCCTCTTTTCTTGCTTTACACGAACCATCTGACAGAGCCCAAATAGATTCTGAGAGGAAAAGTGGAAGGGCAAGCTGACAGTCAATCCTCCGGATATGGAGCAATCAATGCTGGTCAGGGTTCCTTCGGCCAGACGGAAGGAAGCGTGAGAGTGTTCACCATGTATTCCAAAATTGGACTTGCCGGTGGAAAGGAACCGGACTGATGCTCCCCAGAATGGATAAGGAGCCAGGACCATAAGGACCTGTTTCAACCAAAAAAAAAAAAAARAAAAAAAAAAGGAAAATTAAAAATTAAAAATTTTGAATTTTCGATATGGCGCTGAAAGTTGGATTTATTTGCGGCGTGCCCTCCAACGGCCCGACCTACCCTGTCGTGCCCCTGGGGCCTCGGAACTTTCCTGCAGGCCCCTGTGGCCGTTCGTCGCACGCACCGCCGTTCCCCTGGCCCTGGGAGGGGAGCTACCGGGGCGTACTGGAAATTTGGAACCGGTACTGGTAGTGCAATCAGACTCGTTTTTCAAACACACTTTTCATGCATGTAAACAGCAACGCAGCATACTGGCGACATGTGCCCACTCAAAACTCAGAGATATGGCTTTCAGATACGAGTTCACTCTCAATTGGCTATGGCGACTTCAGCGCCCAAACATCTCACTGTTCACATACACTGGATC